GTGATAAATCGCTTTTTGATCGACATCTAGTGGGTTATAGGTTATCGACCATGCTGATTCCGAATATGACCGTGGGGCTTCCCCATAGCTCTTCGAAGATCCAGTCTTCTGGAAAACCAGTTTTTCAAAAACTCAAAAAATAGTCCAAGCCTTTCTTGACAATTCAAAACTGTAGCGCGCAAATTTCGGATTAAAATGAAACATCCCCCAGCTCTACATGATCTTTCTTTGCAAAGTTATAGAATTTATAAGAAGAGCCCTAAATTGTTCATTGTCAGCTGAAAGCTACAGAAATAAGAAGGAAAGAATTAATTTAAAGCTCTTCTTAAAAATTCTATAACTTTGCAAAGAAAGGGCGTGTAGAGCTTGGGGATGTTTCATTTTAATCAGAAATTTGCGGGCTACAACCCTGTATTATTAAGAAAGGCTTGGTTTTTCTTTTGGTTTTTTGAAAAACTGGTTTTCCAGAAGACTGAATCTTCGAAGAGCTATTGGGAAGTCCCATGGTTATATTCGGAATCAGTATGGTCGATAATCTATAACCCACTAGACGTCGATCAAAAAGCGATTTATCACTTCGGGAGGTTCCCTCGTGGGAGAAGGTTGTTTTCCCTAAAGCGCGTTCACATAAGCCTAGTTTCTTCTAGACGTGTTATTACACGTATTTCCTATACTTCGTATCTGGGAGCTTGAACGCCGAAGTACGAACAAGCTACGATGTAGAATACAAGGATTTTACTAGTTTTGCTTCATAGATTTGATCAGAGGTATATGCGTTATCAGGTCTAATGCGGACTTGTTTGACTCAAAAGTTCCACTATTGTGTCTCACATCCTTCTTAACTGTCTTCCACCTCTGACCTTTAGTGGAATTTGTCTTGGATGTGTGGCGCCTATATTCCTTTATTTTGCAGATTTTGGGACATTTTATAGGAAGAGGTGTTACAAGTTTCAAACTTCGTGGCATATTTATTACTGTAAGTGTAGAAAGCTTGGATTGGATTCCTTGGGCGTTGCTATAGCGATATGTAGACATTATTACGTCTGTTCTAGTTTGCTTCGCAGGTTTTGGAATACAAAAGTAAACTGATTATTTATAGTTTATTTTCAAATACTACTTAACCGTATTTCAAAATGACTTCATCTTTCAAAAGACAGCGTACGGAAGAAAGCAGCTCTACTACTCAGTCTGCCTCTGCGCCAAAAGACTCTGCAGCACTCGTTGTGGATCCAGCTACGAAACAAGAAAACAAAATCGCTCCGGATAAAGACGAGAAAGAAAAAAAGGGAATTATTGAACCATATCAAGAATGCTTTCCACGCATCAGTGTTTTGGAATTCTTTTATACCGATAAACAAAAAAAGAAACGAGATTTATTTTTGCGAGCATTGAGTGAAATGATGAGTAATTTGAAAAATGATGATCCATGGTCATACTTTGCAATTGCTGGTATTCATGGATTACCCGGAAATGCATATGCCACAGCTGCGGCTCCACTTGGTCGAGGATACTGTGAACATGGTACTGTACTGTTTCCAACTTGGCATCGTCCGTACGTATTATTATTCGAGCAAGCAGTCATACGTGCGGCTAAGAAGATTGCAGGCAACATCGATAATAAATATACTAACCTTAGAGAGGAATGTATGGACATGGCCAAATCATTACGTGTACCATACTTAGATTGGGAAAGTTCATTCATCGGTTATCAAGGAATACCGGATGTCTTTACTACACTTACGATTGATGTCACATATCCAGATCCAGATGAAAAAAAACAGACTATTCCAAATCCATTACGTGCATATATATTACCTATCGATCTATCCACACCAGTACATTCAAGTGATTCGTTTAATCCGACTGCCAAACCACATTATCATATCCTTGAAGGAAAACCACCATTTACGCCGGCGAATTATTCCACTGTTCGTCATCCAAATGCCGCATATCAAAGTCAAACGAATGTATTGAATTTACAAATTCAACGTTATTGTAATTTGGTGTTTCGTCCACAAGTGTATGCAGCTATGCTACAAACAGATTGGGCTAAATTTAGCAATCATAATTCGATGCCTGGTGCTAAGTCTACAACTGGTGCTGAAGATGATTATGGCTACTACGCATCACTAGAGGTAGTCCATGATTCAGTTCATGATGCTGTTGGTGGGAATGGTGGTCACATGACTTATCCAGAAAGTAAGTGATGTATTTCGATTTTGCTTCGTAGCATGCACAGTATTGAGCTGACGCGATCTGCTGTGAAAGAAATGTTTTGCTAGAGAATATGATTTATCCTGGAGCCAATGTAAGGTGCTCGTAATTCAAACTTCGAGCAAAATTTGTTTTTGACTTAATCATACATATTCTGATTCGTCTTGTCGAGCTGATCACGAATATCACCTTTTGACTTCTTTTCAACCACATCTTCATGGAGAAAAACTCCGATTACGGAGAAGGTTGCAAAAACCCAAACAGTTTTTGCTTTCAGAAAAAACACCATAACTTTTTCGCTTTAGTCGTGTAACTCTGGGGCTAATATTTTTAGATTCCTTATGAAAAGCTGGTTCTAAGAATGATGTTCGTAAGTCCTTAAATCCAAAAGCCAAATTCTCGCGTAGGCCAAAATGTGTTTGAGTTAAAAACCCAAACCGAATTTTGCAGACCTAACACAGGTTTGTGTAGAGAGGGTAGACCAAATATTTGCACCTTGTCAGAACCGCTAGAAGTCCAGCTCCAAAGTTACGAAGAGAATTTTTAGAAATTCCTTTTCCTTGCTGAGAAACTTCCTATTTTCTAAATCAGAGGCGAAAAACTCGAAATTCTCCTCGTATTTCTCAATTTTCTCCAACAGAACTCAACTTCTATGGAATAAAAATAGCATATTTGGAATCAGGACCAAACAACGAATCGATTGATATGTATCTCCATCCTATCCGTGTACTTTAGTTTTTTTCGAATTTTTACGTTGAAAAATCACGAGATTTTTACCAAAAAATAAAAATGAACTAAAAAATTTCGAAATACACATCAGTCGATTTGTCGTTTGGTCCTGATTCCAAATATGCTATTTTTATTCCATAGAAGTTGAGTTCTGTTGGAGAAAATTGAGA